CTCTGTTTGGATTCAGATAATTCTGTTTTCCAACCATGCATTATCAAATCCACCTCATAGCCAGACTCAGGAATAGCTAGGTGGGTAACATTCCTTTTCAAAGGAACATAATGGAGAAACTGAGCCAGGAGGATCCCATCTTAGACTGAGGCTAAAATTGTCCTCTTAGCTTTTCCCGATGCTAACTTCCCACCAGTATCACATTCTCTCTGAGTAGCTTGTGGCATTTCTCAGATGGTGGATTATTGATTTATCAATGGATTATTATGATCCATTAGACAGCTCAAAATAAAATCATGAGCTTTTTTACCTCAAACAGCAAATTTCACTAATCACAGCTTAGGAAAAACTTTTGCAGGATTTACATCTCAAACTTAAATTTGTCCTGGTGTAAAAAGCCAACCATCAGAGATTTCTCTACACTTGTAAATTCTCAGCAATCCATAACCCAAACAAGCTTTTTGGCTAGTTTACACATTAAAACAATAACCAACAATAGCCAAATTATTTTAGTGGTAACCAAATTAGGAAAACTTGCTTGACATAACTGATACAGAAAGTTCACTAATTTGAAACTTGAAATAAATCCATTACCAGTCAAATGACTTCAATTTTGTTAAATTCATTTCCAAATTACTTTTACATAGAGAATCAACATCTCATCATTAACAATTGAAACTACAAATTTAAAAGAGCATGCTTACCCAAGTTCAGAGGCTAACTTCTTTACTTTGAGCAGGATGTACTGAACCTGGGTAATGCTTCCAAGCAAAGGTTGCCCTAGGGCCCACGGCCATTGCCAGGGGGGCCCCCACGCTGTAGCTGCTGCTCCATCCCCTCCTTCCTTTCCCAGGTGGGGGAGGGCAAAATCAAAGGTAAGGGATAAAGGGTGAAACTCTCTTCTCCTATGAAAAGGGGTTAACAGATGCCCTCTTGACTCAAGGGAAAGGAGTGGGAGAAAGGAATGACCAGGGTTGTAAGGATGAGTTTCAAAGCTCCTTTAATGATCAATCACAAAACCTCCAGAATCTGCCAAGATATGTTTAGCTATTCTAACTTTGCCCTGTAACCTCTCCATGAAGGAGGATTCAGGGGTGTAGAGGTAAGGGAGTAAGTAAGCCTCAGGGAACCAAAAGCAACTGCAGTTTTCCCCATTTCTTTAGTGCTGAGAATTGGACATACATTTCTGAATAGGGCGTCTGTCCTTGTCCTTTATGCTCATGGCCTTGAACTGACCCAGTGGACTGAGTGTCAGGCTGCATTCAAGACAGCCTCAGAACTGTCTGCCTGAAAAGCACCTCCAAGCCTTGGTGCTTGGAGAGCGACCCCAACTGCAGAGCAAGAAAGAGGGTAGAGGAGGCTTACATACCTTCCAGTCTTGGCTGGAGAGGAACTTGGGGTTAGGTAGTTTCCCCGTACGGGCCACCAAAATGATGAGGTTTAGGGGTGCTGGAACCCCCAAATCACAATATACAGGTCCTGCCCCAAAAGAATTCGACCCAACCCTTCTTTCAGCCAAAGATAAGGTTTATTAGAACATCTGAACGTTGGTGAGCTATTGGCTAGATTGTAAGAATCTGAGCAGTGGCTACATTTTAAGAATCTAAGCCAAAGGAGTATATTCTAAGAATAGGTCGTAGACATAGAAGGCAAGTTTGGACTGTAGGGCATGGGAGGAATAGTGTACAATGAGGCTGGAAAAGTAGGCCAGGGCTAGGTTATATAAAGGACTTTAAAAACAAAACAAGTAAGCTTATATATTTTATCCTAGAGGCAATAGGAAGCCATTGGAGTTGTTTGAGTAGTTGAATGACACAAACTGTCTCACAGACTTGTTTTAGAAGGTGCCATTCTGTACATTGAATGATGAATTGAATGCTGATCCTCTTAATTCAGAACAGACTCCTTGGAAAGGGTACATGGCATTTGTTCACTTAGCAAAGATTGGAATGTAGGAGATATGATATTGTACTCTCACCCTTAGGAGGTGAGAAACTGATTTCCCTAAAGGAGAGGTCTGACCATTTCATTACTCTAAGCAATAAATTCAAGTGTCTGCTGGTTACCTCTGGAATCAATTATAACTCCTCTGTTTGGCATTTAAAGCCCTTTACAACCTGTTCTTTCCAGTCTTATGTCACAGTACCCCTCTCCTGTCACATTGTGGCCCACCCAGACTGACCTTGCTGTTCCTTGTACGTATATGGCCATCAATCTTCCACTGCTGTGCTTCTGCCCTGGCTGTCCCCCTATTTGGATCACACTCCGATCTCGATTCTCTCAGTGTTGGTTTCACAAAGTTAGATGGTAAACGTTTAGCATAACCCCTGGCACTTACTGTGTACTTGTTGATGTATTGATTTAGCAGCCTACGATAACTCTGAGCTTGCAAACAGTCTTGACCACTGAAAGCAAGGTCTTCTAGATCATTTTCACTTGACCTCGGGGAAGCAGAGGTAGCAAGGTGGCACAGTGGATAGAGTGCCAGGCCTGGAGTCAGAAAGACTTGAGTTCAGATTTGGCCTCAGACACTTATTAGCTGTGTGACCCTAGACAGGGCACTTAACCTCTGTCTGCCTCAGTTTCCTCAGCTGTAAAATAGGGATAATAATAGTACATATCTCCCAGGGCTGTTGTGAAAATCAAATCAGATAATATTTGCAAATTGCTTAGCACAGTGGGTGGCACATAATAGGTGCTTAATAAATGTTTGTTCCCTTCTGTTCCCTTTTCCCCTTCTCTATGGCCTGGCTCTTTTTCTGGAGGAAAAGGACTGTACTTGTTCTACCATCCTGAAGTTTCACCATGCCCCAGCCCTAAAATCCACACATAGAAAGTACCACTTCAGCTCCACAATCTCCCTCTGATTGGATGATAACTCCTCGAACCTTCATTTAGACTGATTCTTGTACCAGGCCCCCTAGATGAATACACCTGTGTCTCTCCCTCTTCTCTATCTCAGCTTCCTTTTTATCTGTTTTCTTCCCCCATTTGGATATTGAAGGCTAGGACTATCTTTCTATTTGTATGTGTGTTCCCAGTGCTTAGCACATAGTAAGTGCTTTAAAAATGCTGGATGACTAACTAGAAACTTTTTACTTAAATTAGAAAGAGTGGAGGGCTCCACACCTAACCCACTGGAAGGTGAGTATAGAAGGTTGGCTGCTCTTCTGGTAGACACAGAGATAACTTTTTTTTTTCTTTTTCTGTCTTACCCACTCTTTCCACTGGGAAATGAGATGTTAGTATGGCCTCGTGTTAAGGTAGGTCCACCTAAACTCGAAGAAATAATCCATTTCCATCCTTTTTTTCCCCCAGAAATTTGTGTCATGTTTTTAGGATTATTGGTAAGAATTACATTAAGAAATAATTTTAATAGATTTTAATCTTTATACTGAGGTAGGAATTTCCCCTAATAATCTCTCTACTTGATAGATCTCAAACTATGCTTGTGTTTGCATATTTCTTATTGCTCTAAGATTTTCCATTATAATCCATGTGACTGATAGTTCACATTAAATATTTCTTTATCATAGAATTTCACCTTAGCATTCATCTAATGCAATCCATACTTGAAAAAGTATATCTACAACATACCCAACAAGTTCAGCCAGTATTTACTTGAAGACTTACAATGAGGAAGAAACCAACTACCTCTCAGAGCAGTCCATTTCACTTTTGGATAGTTCTCATTATTAGTAAGTTTCCCTTACATCAAGTCCAAATTTTCCTGTGTACAACTTCCACACATTACTCCTAGTTCTGCCCACTTGCTTGCTAGTACAATTATATCTTTCTTTGTGGGGTTAAGTCTCCAGACATTCAACTGACCAGCACCTGGGAAATCCCAAGAGTACTAGCCCCTGACAGATTTGGGATACAAAACAAAACAGCTCCCTGCTATGCTTCTCTACTCTGGTATCTACGTCACATAAGCATGTCTTATTAATACTATATAATGCTATTCTGTGTCCCGCTCCTTAGTGTTCTAAGCTTTCCTATCTTTGTACCTTTGTGCAGGTTATCTCCTGTGCCTGGAATGTACTCCTTCACCTCTTTCCTCTATTGGCGCCTCATGGAATCTCTAGTTTACTTAAAAGCTCAGTTTAAAACACTTCCCATTTGAAGCTTTTCCTGATTCCCCTTAGCTACTAGTGCCTCCTATTTCTCACTCCACCTCCATTGCCTTTTCACACTTATGTGTGTACATATTCACCTCCCCCCCAAAGAACATAATCTCCTTGAGGTCAGAGACTGTTTTATTTTCATCTTTGTATTCCCATTGACCATCACAGTACCTGGCATAGTCACTTAATAAAGGCTTATTGGTTAACTGATTTATTCCAGTCGTGGGGCTCATCCCACCAAGTCTTATTGATAACTATGCATTTAAATTAGTTTCCCTCTATGCTATCTAGCTTAATAGATATAAAACACTACTACTAGTGGGTGAAAACACTACCTATTAGTGGATGAAAATACTACCTACTGGCACCCCTAAGGTCTGTACTTTGTTGAATAAGACTTTGTAGTTTTTAGCCATGATTTATAGGTTTCTTCTGGCAGTGTGTCTGTGTGATTCACCAGTAATGGATAGTAGTCATCAGTGTGGAAGCGTATTAAAAACTTCTTTTTAGTTTTTCTAGCAATATTAAAAAATAGTTCTAAGCTCTTTCCAAAATCTTTGGGAAAGCCCCTTGGAAAGTTGGGTGATACATAAAGGATACTTTCTTAGGGAAATGGATGAAGGTGATAAATAGTAACTGTGGTCTTGAGGTTATATCACTGCCTTTCTCATCTACCTGAGGTGTTTGGTACTGGGAGCAACCTCTATTCACAAAGGATTAAGATATCAGTGGAAATGGAGGAATTTCCTTTGTTTAACTCCTGGAGTGAGAGGCATGGGCTTGGAGAAATCCAACTGTGGCTTGGTTTGATGCATATTAGGTCTTTATCTCCTGGTTTATCTGTTTTGTAATTTTACCTGGATTTTCTTTCAGAACCTATGATACCTGTGAAGTAATCCCAGGACCCAATCTGAATATGATAGTTGGAGCTAATGGAACAGGGAAATCGAGCATAGTTTGTGCCATTTGTCTTGGATTGGCCGGTAAACCATCTTTCATAGGCCGAGTAGATAAGGTAAGTAACATTCCTTATTTAAGGTCATCCTTTGCTTAGTGTTGAACAAATTCTAAGTTGTTTGATGCCAGTCCCTTGATTCCATAAGCCCATTTTTATTTGAGTAGTGGTCAAGTAGGAAAAGAAGTTGGGAGAAAAGGAATATGAGGTAAAATGTTTTGCTTACTTTTTTTTAAAAGAAAGGAAATCTTCCCGCTGCTTTTTGGTGAACCTAGTTTAAAAACTTTTTAGTTAGCATGCTTCATTTTTCTGAATTAGATGATTTAGGAAAAACTCTCAACCTTTGCTTATAAAATGACCATTAGCTCTTGGAGCGGATTAAAACTCTGAATGATGTTTTACCTGTAATTATAAGAGACTGATGCGTCTAAAATTATAATTAGCAACATTATCAAAGCTATGTTACATACTATTTGTTGAGGTTTAGCATCTGGTGAAGATTTATGAGGAAAGCAATATCTCTAGTGTGTCTGCATGTTTGATAGACATATTATTTGTACTACATGAGTAGGTTTTCTTGGTTAGTCTCTAACTCTGCTACTGTGACAGTACAGTGCTTCTATAGGAAGCTTAGAAACTTGTCATTTAGATGTGAATGAATGAAAAAGCATTGATTGAGCAATTAATATGTACCAAGAACTGTGCTAAGTTCTAGGGTTACAAATACAAAGGCAAAGAACACATTGGAAAGTAGTGACCAGGAAGGGGAAAGGTACAGGGATGGTGAATGGGGCCTTAGGGGGTAGACTGACATTCAATCCAAAAATAATGGCAGAGTTGATTTGCTTATAGTTTGTGGTTCCAGAACTAGAAGAGGTAATGGAGAGTTGTCCAGACTGTAAAGGACTTAGACTGAGAGGAGTGTGAAGTGACGCATGGCTTTGGCTTTCCTAAGTAGTGTTAGGGGACAGGAAGTCACCAAGATACCTGTGGGCTCCCAGGGCGTAGTCTGGGGTGAGTCTGAGGTAATTGGGCAGAAGGTTGTAGAGGGAAGACATAGTACTTTTTTTTTTTTTTTTGACAAGGTAGTTGGGGTTAAGTGAGTTGCCCAGAGTCACACAGCTAGTAAGTGTTATGTGTCTGAGACCGAATTTGAACTCAGGTCCTCCTGAATCCAGGGCCGATGCTCTATCCACTGCGCCACCTAGCTGCCCCCCATAGTGCTTTTCAATATAGAATCTGTCCGACTGGTCTCTGTCAAAATTTCCTAGCACTAGTATCATTGCACAAGGAAGGCACTATGATGGAATACAGCATTTCTATTACACATGCTATTACACCGAATCCTTGTGTATCCTTTGGGGCTACAAACTACAGCCCTTTTATATACAGAGACTTGCAGATATTCTATTTCTCTTTAAAAACACTTTTACTCTGAATAAACCTTCTGGGGTTCCAAGCCTCTGATGGTGGTACCTAATGCACCCTGATTTTCATAACACATTTTGTTTGTTTTTCTGATACATGGAGTATTTGCACTGAATATCAGCACTTGTTTTCCTATCTGCAACTTATATTTTATATCTCTTTATGTACACATGAAAACTTAACTGGTGTCAGCAGTTCATCTTAAGAAGAATAGATTGGGGCAGCTAGGAGGTACAGTGAATAGAGCACTGGCCCTAGAGTCAGGAGGACCTGAGTTCAAATCCGGCCTCAGATACATAACACTCACTAGCTGTGTGACTCTGGGCAAGTCACTTAACCCCAATTGCTCTTAACAAAAAAAAAAAAGAAATAGATCTATAGGTTTGGATGGGGTGTATGTGTGTGTGTATTCAAATCTAAGAATGTATTTGTTAAAATCTAAAATGGCTCTCCTGGATGCACCTGCTTGAGATTTGCACATCTTTTTAAGAGGCATTGAGATGTATTCTTGATGCAAGTGTTTGGAACTAATGGGAGAAACTATTCCTAGTGTGCATGTAAGTTGTTTATAGAAGAGTTAGTGCTGGGATTCAATACAAAGTCAGAGTGTTAAAAAGAAACATTTATCTCCTAATTGCCAAACCTCATGACATTTTCTCTCCTTTCTTCAACATTTAACATGATTGACCAACCTCCCCTCCTGGATTGGATACTCTTTTTTTCCCCCAACAGGGTTTTCATAACACTATTCTCCCTTGGTTTTCTTTCTGCCTGTCTGACTGCTCAGTCTCCTTTGTGTATCATTATCCATATAACACCTCCAAACTGGGTGTACGTCAAAGCTCTGTCCTGGGCCGTCTTCTCTTTTCTTGTTACACTTTATCAAAAATCTTATCAGATGCCATGGGTTTAATTATCTCTATGAAGCTGATTGTCATATCTATATATCCTTGTCTCTTTCCTAAGCTCCAGTTTTATGTCATCAACTGCCCATTGGACGTTTCCAACTTGATGTCTAATAAAGCGTCTCAAACTCAATATCTCCAAAACAGAACTCATGATCTTTTCCCCCAAAACCTTCTGAATATCCTTATTTCAGTAGAGAGTACAGCCATCCTGGTAGATACTCAGGTTCTCGACCTCTCTGTCATCCTTGACTCCTCATTCTCCCTCACTTGATGTATCTTATTAGTTGTCAGATCTTCTAATTTTTACCTCTACAATATCTCTTGAATTCATTACTCACATGCATCTCTCTCCCCTCAAATGTCCATCATTCAGATTAAGCATTTCATCATCTCCTGTCTGGACTATTGCAGTAGTATCCTAATTGCTCTCTCTGCCTCAAATCTCTGTCCTTTCCAATCTATTCACACAGCTACCAAAGTGATTTCTTAAAGCACAGTTCTCTCCATGTCATCTTTCTACTTAATGCCAGTAGTTCCCTGTTACCTATAGGAAAGATAAAAGTTCCTCTCTTTGGCATTTAAAGCCCTTCACAATCTGACCCTAACCTACATTTCTAACCTTATACTTTATTCCCAGTGCTTTGCTGTCTAGTCAGACTGACCTTGCTGTTTCTGACCCAGCCTTCTCATTTCCATCCCCCTGCTTTTATTCTGTCTGGCCTCCTGTGCATGGAGATGCTTTCTCTCCTTACCTCTATCACTCAAATCTGTAGCTTCCTTCAAGACTCACCTAAAGTACAAGGTTCTCCATGAAGCCTTTCTTGATCCCCTCAGCTGTTAATAGCTTCCCTATTAAAATTACATTGTATTTATTTGGTAAATATGTATAAATATACAAATCCTTCTAGACAATAAGTTCCTTAAGGATAGGAATTGTTTCATTTTTGTTTCTATCCCAGTACCTAGCACAATGATGAGTACATAGAAGGGCTCTTAATAAATGCTTGTTGATTCTATAACAGTCATTGTGAAGGACTTTCAGAAACATGGAACTTTACTGGGATTATTCAAGCATCAAAAGTACATTTGAGAGAAACAGTTCTTTAATGTTACTATGAGAACACATAGTTAAATACTCAAATGTATCTACTTTACCATAATGAAGTGTAAAACTAGCACTTGTTTATTTAAAGGATAAAAGTCTACATGTTTATCACTAGATAACTAAACTGCTCAATGGTAGGCAATCATGATTTACGTGTAGATAGTTTACAAATAATTAGTGGGGAGGTTGCATAGTGATGGTTTATCACAGCTTTTTTTAGTCATAACATAGAAAGTAAGCTTTTCAGTAACTTCTTTTTCTCATATGTTTTCCCTCTATAGTATATCTCATATCCATCCTCTATTTAATACAATTGCAACCACCCTCTTGGACTTTTCCAATAGCCTCCTAACAAGACAACCAGTCTCTACTCACTTTTGCCCCAATCAGTCAATCAGTTTATGCTATATTCTACTGCCAGATTGAAAAACCTAGCATACAAAGCTCTCAACAATCTGGTGTCATTCAACCTTTCTTGCCTTATCTTCTAATGATCTTCTTCCTGTGGAGTCTCTAATCCCACCTAATTTGACTATTTAAAAGGTTAGTTGCTTTCCCACCTCCCTGCCTTTTCTTTTGCTGTTCTCTGCCTGGATTGCTTTCTCTACCCTTTTTCTGCCTGTTGAATTCTTACTCATCCATTAAAGCCCCAATCAAATACCATCTCCTTTAGAAAACTTTCCCTGACCCTCTTATTCCCATCTCTCCCCCAAGTCAATAATGAGTTCCTCCTCCCCCTTAGACTTCACTTAGCACTTGCTTACACCTCTCTTAATTGTTTATTTTGTAGAATAGTATTTGTGTATGTGTGATATATCCCTTTTCTAGACTGTAAGCACCCCAATATTGTCTTATCTAAACTAAATTTCTCCCAGTCTGTGTGCTTTGTACACTCTGACGTTGTAATAAATTAAAGGTATGTGGGAAGAAGTAGTAGTAATGCCACAATTTTAGTATTGCAGCTTTACACAGTTGAGGGAGTATGTATATATGTCTTGTGTGCATTAAAGCATCAAATGTGGTCACCTGATAAATACAGATATTAAGTAATGCCTATGCCACATGTCTGCTATCTAGCAAGTTAAATAATTTTCCAAGAATTCGCTCACCCATTTTGCCTTTTCTTGTGTTCTATAGGTTGGCTTTTATGTGAAGCGAGGGTGTGCCAAAGGCTCAGTTGAAATTGAATTGTGAGTGTTGAAAATGATCAAATTAAACTTCAGTATTTAGCCTCTGATTTTATATTCATTTAATATATATTACTTTGCTATGTATTGACTTAGGAAATGGCAATAATATAATAATATCAGTTATATCTTGTCAACATTATTTAAACTGTTTTATTCAAACAAGCAAATGTGCTGCTTAACTTTGCCTTTTGATTATTCTTTTTAAAATGCAAGCATTTTCTTTAAAAAATAATTTCCTTTAGGGGACATTTTCTCCATTGAAATTACTTTAAATAGTTCTTGTTTTAAAGTTGTTTTAGATAATGAATTGTTGTCAGATGTAGAAGAATTTAACAATATGCAATGTTCAAGTATTATATGCAGTACAGAATACTCAGTGGCCATAAATGTAAACCCAAAACAAAGTAAAGCTGTATGTTAATGAGCATTTAGATTCTAAATAAATTATTTCACTTTTTGTGAGTAGTCATCTTTGGGGTTTGTAATGATGGCCAGAGAGAGTACGTTAAGTGAAATGAAGTTAAGAGAGTTCTGTTGGGGGGGGGGGAGTAGAATTATAGAAGGAAGTAGGTATGATACAAATACAAAGTATAAATTGGCTTTTTCAGGTGGTGTAGATGGAAATTTACCTTCTGCTTTCTAGTACATATGTAAGAACCTCAGAGGACTCTTAATCTTTGAAGTAGTTATGGTAATAGAGAAATTATGTAAAAGAAATAGGTTAGAAGAGGATAATAACAAATCACAGAATATTAGACTTGGAAGAGACTTTAAAGATCTAGTCTAACTCTTCATTTTACAGATGAGGATACTGAGATTCTGAGAAATTAAGTAAATTTCACATTCAAGATTTACACAGTAGTATCAGACTGAGATACTCAAGTCTTCTGATTCCGGGTCCAGTGTTCTTTATGCAATACCATACTTCTTCCTAGCTTACAGTTTAGAGTAAAAGAAAATTATTTTCTTAAAAAAAATTTAAGTGTATAAGAAAAGAAAGTAAAAATGAGGGATTGAACTTGGAGAATTTATAGCTAAATTAATCAAGGTTCACTAAACAGAATTAAAATTATTACTTGGAGTAGCTTCAGTAGTCTTAGGAGATGGGTAAATAAAAGAAATCTTAGCTCTGTTTTCTGTACTATTGAAAAAAGAAGAAATGGTGCCAATAATTAAGAAATCGTTTAGATTTAGATTTGTAAGATATAATTTTATTGAATTTGATTGCATCTTATCTGAGTATTCATAATGGTTCAAAATAAACTATACTTTTAAGGCTGCATGTTCAGCTTTCCCCCATCCAGCCTCCATATTCTTTTTGTTATTTGTTCTCCACTCCAACCTAGGAATGGAATGAATGCACCATCTCTCAGATTGATTCAGAAGACTACTTGTTAGGGGATTAGATCATTGGATATAGCTTATCACATTTGATAATTCACACCTTTCCTAGGACAGGGTTATAAATAGTTTGTCTTAAAGTTATTTTTTTTAATTGTTATTTTAGAATGAAGAAGTTTACTCTTCCTTCTGACCTTTTCTTATTTCTATCAACAACTCCACAGTTCTTCCCAGTCACTTACAATTCAAAAATTTTGGGTCATCTTTAATATTTCTCCTTCCCTTACCCACCATATCCAGTCATTTGGCAAGTTCTGTCAATTAAATGTTTGCAGATTCAATAAGTAAATGCTACTATAAATAGTTTAGGTTTGAGTGTTTATAGTATTTCACCCTTTAAGTAATTTAGACTGAAAAATAAGTATCTAACATTTGTAAGCAGGGACTTTTCCAGACTCTTTGTGACCCCATTTGAGGTTTTCTTGGCAGAGATACTAGAGTGGTTTTCCATTTCCTTTCCCATCTCATTTTACAGATAGGAAAACTAAGGCAGACAGGGTTAAATGACTTGCCCAGGGTCACACAAGCTAGTAAGTATCTGAGGCCAGATTTGAACTCAGGAAGATGAGTCTTCCTGACTGCACGGTTGGCACTCTGTCCATTGTGCCACCTAGCTGCCCACAGTTTTATGTTATTACTTGGGCTATATCATCTTTAAAGTTCTTTCTACTTTTAAGATTTTGTGGGTGAAATACCAAGAGAAGATAAACCCTATAGGATTTCAAATGGAACAAAGATTGCAGTATATAGCTTTGTTTGTTTGTTTGTTTTTTATTGTTTATGATCCTTAAAACTGTGACAAATTAATTTTGATACCAGTGAATTTAGGCAACTTTCAAACTATGTGTTTTGAAAATAAAATATTTTAAAATATGTTTGTTAACCAGGTTCAAGACTTCTGGAAATGTCATAATTACTCGAGAGATTGACGTGCATAAAAATCAGTCATCTTGGTTCATTGATAAAAAATCTGCAACGCAGAAAGCAGTGGAAGAACAGGTAGCAGCCTTGAATATTCAAGTAGGCAATCTTTGCCAGTTTCTTCCTCAGGTATGAAGAAGTTGTAAAGACTAAAATTTTTGTTTGCATTATTTAAGGAGCTTTTGGTTCCTGAAGGGAAAAATAATTGAAATATTTTGGGATATATTTTTTAGAGACTGTAAATTTAGTGATATTGGATAAGTTATATTCTTAATGCATAACAAACTGATACTTTCAAGAAGCAATACTTAACAACTTATAGCATAATTTTAGCTTTCCAATTTCTCTCAGTTGTTAAATCTGAATTAGTAAAGAATCTGTTGCATTAATACTTCTTTCAGTGGATCTGTACTCTCTTCAATGTGGCTTCTCTTTCCCAAGATTGTAGCCAATCCAAGGCTTCCCATTCTTATGTAGCTTTTAATTATGTCCTCATGTAAATCCTCCACTAGGGCTCTACTCAGTGTTCTGGAATTTTTTTCCTCTAGATCTCTTGACTTTGTGTGGAGGTCAGTGCAGCATACAGACTGTCCATTGGTTATCTCTCATTTTCGCTACATGAATGGGCCTTCTCTTTCAGATAATACATCTTAACATCCTTTATTGCGTTTCTGCTAGGCAGTTATTCATTGGTGATATGCTGCAGTCCATTTGTGCTTGCTATGTACCTGTCCATTGCCTTTTGGGTGACCATAATATTTAATTTTTCAGAGACATTCCTATTCTAGGATTTACAGCTGTGTAGTATTATCAGAAGAATATTGGTGGTAAAAAGAAATGGCTTTGTTTCAGGGAAAGTTTTGGAACATTGAATGCACTGTGCATTTTCCCAACTAGAAGCCAACTTACTCTTTTTTTCTTCAACATTTGACAGTTCTTTGTCATTCCAGAATGTCTGTCCAAGGTGTTTGTACTGATGGACCAGCTTTATAGACTGACTCTTCATCTGTGTATCATAGTCTGAACAATAGACATTCCTTATCCACTTGGTTTTTCTTGTGTGAATAGTTAAGCTGAACTCTTTTGAGTGATTATAAATATCATTTAGGAGGTTATACAGTGTTCTGGGGCTTGATGCAATCAACACAATAATATTTTCAAACCACCAGGAGGCCTCACCATCTGTAGGGTGTTCTCCCTTGTCTATTGGGTATCTTGGATTCGATTCCAGATAACTTTCAGAATACTGGCAAATGCCTTTGGCAAACATACATCTCTTTAGTTTTTTATCTCATTAATAATCAGAGGATTGTTAAATAAAATTTTCTTTGTTACATCTTTCAAGGAATCTTGTATTATTTTAATATACACATAGAGAAAACCTTGTTGGAAGAGAGCCTGAAGACTACTCTGCCAAATCAAATATTTATTTAGTCAATGAGTCTATGAGAACGGTGGAATGTTATATTCTCTATGTCAGTGGATAACAAGGAGTATGTTAGAAGTTTCACTAGATATGTCAGAAAATGCTTCTCTCTACCCCAAGACTTCCATAGTCTCCTTCCCTATTCCCCCACTGCAGTAGCTGCCTTCTTTTCCTAGCTTGGTATTGGGAAGTTCACAATTGCAGTTTAATCCATAGAGGTACAAAACTGCCTCCTCTATTTTGAGTGCTATGTAAGTAAAGAAGGGGATTATTGAGTGGGGATAGGGAAAGGTCTGGAGAGGCAGAGGAACCTCAAGGCCTGGTAATAGATCTGGCCCAACTGCCGTCGAACTCTTCTTTGTTGCTAACGTAAATATTCTTTTATTGTGATGTTTCCTCTGGATAAAGAGAACTGAACTATGAACACAAAAAGCTTTCTGAGCCACTCTTCCATATGTTTCAGCAAGCTGGGTAACTTAGCTAAAGAATCTCTTTTTCAAAAGCCTACCTATTTCCCTCTTCATCTCTTTTATTAAGAGAACCCTGCACATATGTAGGTAATTCTCACAAAGGTATTATAAAAATGGGAAAGTAGGCATATGGGTTAGTCGTTACTAATATTTTCTTGTTTGCATTTTTTGATGACAATAGGATCTGTGATTCTTTTTTCTCCCAAGTATATGGGAAAAATTACCTGGCAATATATCCTTTTCCAGATATTTAAAGAATTGATCCTTTAACATCCTCAGAAATGTGACACCTCCAGCCGAGACCTCTTTGAGTAGATACACACAGCTAGTCCAAGTGCTCTTCTGTTTTCATTTTGTTTTTTCTTTAGTGCTATTTCTACTTCCTCTACAAGCCCATTAAAGCCTATTTTATTAGGGTCTCCAAATATGGGCCCTTCACTGTCAGTGATGGAGGAAAGAATTTATTATGGAAATCTTGACAGACATTTAACCATTTTTCATCTTTATCTATTCTTCAATTTTCATGATTAAAGGTTCTCAAGATGATGTGGCATAATTAGATTTCTCACCAAATTTGCTATAATTTTCCATCCATTCTTGCAGTTTATGAGAGACTACTGCCTATAATCTTCAATCTATCTGCATAAAATTTTTACAAATTAATTTGATACATATTCTAAACCAGTGTGCCTTTGGCTGGTATATCCCTATGCTTGACAAGCAGATCAGACATTTTCTGGCTGAGGCAGTTACTAGACACTTAGTTTTCCTCATTGTGGCAGTTAGTTTGCATCAGTGAAATTTCTTTTAGGAAATGGTGAGATTCTATGTTGGTGTCTACTCTATTTCTATTGTCTTAGTGTTAATAGCTTGTTGAAATAGGTCAGTTGCTTGCTATGCTGTCTCATTTTTTTTTTCTTTTTCTTTTTCTGTTTTTTAGGCAATTGGGGTTAAGTGACTTGCCCAGGGTCACACAGCTAGTAAGTGTCAAGTGTTTGGCCTGAGGCTGGATTTGAACTCAGGTCCTCCTGACTTCAGGGCTGGTGCTCTATTCACTGGGCCACCTAGCTGCCCCTGCTGTCTCATTTTTATTCTTCTAATTTGGCATTGACCTCAGCCTTTAGTTCTGCTTCACATTGGTACTATTTTATTTTTTAGATAGATAGATACCAAATTTTGTACCTGGAAGTACTGAAGTAATTGGATTTTTTTTTCTATAAAGATCTCAGAAAACATAAGAACTACATTCATGATATTTTATCATGGTCAGAGTTATCATTTTTTGTCTAGAGTCTAAAGTTTTTTACCTTTGTTTATGTTGTAAACTCCTTTGGCTCTCTACTTAAACCTGTGAACCCCTTCTTATAATAAATGATGTTTTTAAGTGCGTTAAATAAAATACACAAGGTTATAAAGAAAACCAATTGTATTGAAATACAACTATCAAAAGATTTTTAAAAAGAAATTTGTGGACCCCAGGTTAAGTCTAGACAATTGTTCTTTGACTGACTGATTATAACTCTGACAAAAGGCTACCTGTAGCATTTCTTTACCAATACTTCACTTAAAATAGCTCTTTGTGGTTCTTAGAAAACATCAGTAAATTACAAATGACTTATGTCTTATGTGATGTCATTTTCATAACTAATTTCTGATGCTTGTGATACTCTAGGACAAAGTTGGGGAATTTGCAAAACTCAGCAGAATTGAACTTCTTGAAGCTACTGAGAAGTCAATTGGTCCTCCGGAAATGCACAGGTTTCATTGTGAACTCAAAAACTTCAGAGAGAAAGAAAAACATCTTCAGGTATTTAATAATATAGTGAACCAAATTAAAAAGATCTTTCTTAGACTGGAGTTGTGATGTGTGTTAATGATGTAAAAGATAACTTTTACATTATCTTATCTTTAACTTGTTTATATTGGACATTTACAATCATGCTTAAAGAAGATGTTTAGATAATTAAATTAAGTAAAGGTTTTGTGGTGGTATTTAAAAAAAAAAAGCCAGTAGTAATGGAGTTTGAGTGAGAATATGAACAATGAATTATTCTCCCTAACTTCTCAAAATAATGAAATGTGTATACTTTACCCCAGGTTTTTCTTATGTTTAAAAACTTTACCTTGTCACTCTTCAGTTCAATTCAGTAAACATTTATTAAGAGCCTATTGTGTGCCAGGCACTATGTTAAGCACTCAGGATATAAAAAGAGGCAAAAGACAGTTCCTACTGTCAAGGAGCTTACATTTTTCCTCTATCTCCCCTCCCTTTCAGAGCTAAGTTGCTAGAAAAAAACAGATACCACTTTTTTACTTCCTTTCTCAGCCCCTTACATTCTGGCTTCTGACCACTTGACTGAAATCCCTCTCCAAAGTTAGCAAATAACTTTTTAATTGCTAACTTCAGTTGCCTTTTCTTAATCCTCATCTTTCTTTACCTCTCTTTAGCTTTCTCCTTGTTCTTTCTCCTTGTTCTATTGTCTGTCTGACCACTCTTTTACTAGTTCATCATCCACAACCATAGATCTTATTCAAGGATCAGTCCTGGGTCCTTTTTTCTCTCTTCACCCTCTCTTTTGGTGATTTCATCATTTGATCTTATCAGGCCCTGAAGTTCATTTATCATCTCTATGCAGATAACTCTAGTCCCAACCCCTCGCCACCTTAGCTACAATCCTTCATCACAAGTTATATTCCTTTCCAAACATCCCTATGTCAGTTGAAGGTATTTCCACTGTGTTCTAGTTACTCAGGTTTTAGTCATCCTCTACTTATCCCTCACACATACATACCCATCCAATCAGTTGCCAGGCTTTATCAATTCTACCTCTAGTATGTGTCTCTAATATATCCCTTTCTCCTCACTTATGTGGCCACTCCCTAGTTTAGACTGTAATCACCTCTCACCTAGACTTTAACAATAGACTCCTAACTGGACTCCCTACTTCTCCTCTCTCCCTTCCTTAGTTCATTCTTCACTTAGCTCTTCCATGGGTACAAGCCCCCTTACCTCCCCAGGACCATCCTTCAAAATACCTCAGTATCATCCATAATCCTTTGCTTCAGTCACAGAGAAGGAGATAACCCTTCTCCTTGCCAAGACTAACCCTTTCTATTATAACTTTGATCCCCTTCTATCTCATTCCAAAATATGCTTCTTTAATCATGTTCCTACCTCTAGGGCTGATAGTTCTAAGTGTCCTTTGTAGTTTTATCAATCATTCCCTGCATCTTTCTTTTGATGTGCACTATGGCTCTGACCTGTCCCCTGTTCTCTCTGTACACTTTCTCTCTTGGTGACCTCAATTCCCATGGGATCATTTCTATGCAGATAATTCTCAGAATTATGTATCCAGTCCTAATCCCCCAAACTCTAGTCCTCCATCACCAACTGCATGTTGTGTAGGCATCTCAAACTCACCATGGCCAAAATAGAATTCATTATCTTTCCCCCTAAACTGACCTCTCTTTCTAACTTAGCAGTTTATCTCAGGAACACCCTCATTCTGTCAGTTGCCCACCTTCACAATCTAGGCATCTTCAACTTTTCTCACTCACGCACCCCTCTCTCCCTATATGTAATCATTTGCTGAGTCTTGCCAGTTCTCTCTCCTCAGTATTCCTCATATCCATCCCCTTTTCTTGTCATACCACAATCATACTAATCTAGACTTCATCATCCCTTACCTCAACTATTACCATCACTTCCTACTTGTCTCTCTGTTTCTCTTTCTTCTGCACAGCCAGATATTAAATTGATCTTTCCAGTGTGCAGATCTGACCATGTCACTGTCTTGCTTCAAAGGCTTCAATGGCTTCCCATTATCTTTAGGTTTAAAGTACAAAGTCCTTTTGACATTTAAAGTCCTTCACAGTCTGCCTCCAGTCTAGTTTTCTAAGATGTTTACATATTACTTCTCCAGACATACATATACACTTGATGCTGGCCTACACAGCCAGACTGGCCTACTTGGTTTTCAGTATATGCAAGATTCCCTTTCTGCCTCCATGCCTTTGATAATCCACAGGTTATTCTCCAAACCTGGAGTTTTCTGCCTCTTCATCTTAGTCTCTTGGATCTTTTTAGCTTCCTTCAAAGCTTAGCTTAAGTACCACCTTCTTCAAAAGGCCTTTTCTGATTCCCCCAATTGTTCCTGCCTCACCTTATATTTCCTTATCTGTGAATACTGTGTATCCCGCTAGTGGACTTTAAGTTCCTTGCGTGCACAAGCTGTGTTACTTTTCTTTTTGTAGCCCCAGCATTTGGCATATAGTAGGCACTTAATAAATTCTTATTGATCGATTGGTTGCTAAAATAATCTTCCTAACGTACGGATCTTACCATGTTACTTCCCTACTCAAGATTCTTAAGTGGTTCCCTGTTGCCTCTTGGATAAAATGCCTTTTGCCCAGCTTGGCAATTAAAGTCCTTCACAGTATATTCCCAGCCTGCCTTATATCCCATTACTCCTCTTCACACAGTCTACATTTGAACCAAACTGGCCTACTTGCTTTTCTCCAAATGAGACTTTTCATTCCTCCATTCTTTTGTATGCCCATAATGTCCTCTTTCCTCTTATAATTATTAGCATCTTACAGAGCTAAGGACAGGGCCACTTGCTTGGGAAGCCTTTGCTTATCTCCCCAGTTGTTTGTCTCTTTGCTTGAAATTATCTTTTATTTACTTATCTTTGTAAATGTATCACCACACTTAGAGTGTTCCATAGATATAGACCAAGAAAATGTTAGAATCCAACCCTCTCATTTTACATATGAGGAAACTGAGGCTCAGAGAGGTTAAGGGAATTGCACTAGGTCACACAAGTAATATAAGTAGCAAAGCTGAGATTTGAATCCAAGTCTTTTCACTTTAAATCCAATGCTATTTTCACTGAACCCTGCTGTCTCTCATCAATCTCCTTGATGGTAATTGGTCAGTCAGCAAACATTTAGTAAGGTCTTATTATGTTCTAAGCTCTATACTAAGTTCTGGGTATACCCCCTTCCCTCTAAAAAGGGCAAAATTATCCAGATCGTAACTTTTAGTCTCAACTTAAATGTTATACAGACTAATATAATCCTATTATGATGAATACCATTCACAAAAGAATTCTGTAACAGGATTCAATCCATTTCTTAGTAGATAGCTGGTAGTAAAGTGTTAAAAACTGATTATGATGTGTTTTTCTATGTGGTGCATAATATTGGGGGGAGATATATTTTCCTATGAAGTCCAAGAGAATTTAAAGCTGAAAGGGCTCTTGGATACTAATGAGTCTGATCCTCTTATTTTAATATGAGGTAAATGGAACCTAGAGGAGTTAAATTTCATGTTCAGGGTCATACAACCAGTAAGTAGCAGATCCAGAATTTGGTCCCTGATCCTCTTTACTCCAAATCCAATATTCCTTCCCATATTAGTCATTCCTGACTGAAAATCTTACGTTTGCTCTCAGCTACGAAACAACAACAAAACTGGCACACAACTCGAAATGATTTGGTAGCTTTGAAAAGCAAGTGCATTGAGAGTAACTTGTTTATGATTCCTTGATTTTATGTTTAGAAGACTTCTTTCTGGTTACTAATTCACAATGTTGAAATTGTACTTTAACCATAGAGGCTTAGTAAATTTTTGTTGAATTAAATTGAGTTTCATTTCTAGAATATGGAGACTGAGAATGCCAATAATAATAATGATAGCAATAAAATTCCTTATCATTTAAATTTTGTTACAGTAATATAACTTGAAGGTCCCGTGGAACTTACCATAATGGAATTTTTATATGTATCAGATTTTTTATTTTAATGGATTTTTACCTGCAAGTATTTTTAGTCTGCTTTGTGTGATATATACCTGTATAGATCGCATGCAAAGAGAAGAGTGACTACTTGGAAAAATTGAAACAGACTAATGAAAGACATAAGCAGGATGTAGAGAGATATTATGAGTGTAAACGTCATTTGGATTTAATTGAGATGCTTGAAGCAAAAAAGCCGTGGGTGGTAAGTCTTAATTTTTGGAGATAATTTCCTTTTCAAATGAAAAAGATGGGTAGTTTAAGTGGATAACAGTAATAAAAAATGCACCTTTGTTGTACTACATTCATTTTACAATCTTTTGCCTCATATATTACATTATACTACAGTATGTTTTCTTGTTCCATTTTGTGAAATTGTATTTGTTCACTTGTTATTAATTACTGTTTTATTATAGATAGTTGATCAAGGGTTATTTTATTGTTTAATCTGTATCTGAGAATTCTGTCTATAGACTTCAAGTAAAGATTTTTCTCCTTTAATAATTGTATATAGATATAGATACAGATATAGAACAAGAAAATGTTAGGTAGTTGAAGAATACTTGCTGAATTGGAATGGATTTCATCTGCTTTTTTCAATCTTACTCATCTAGGGTTTCCAATCAAGTTTTACTCTGTTACTTTATTTTGGTGTGGAATAGGTTTTATCAAGCCAGAAACACTGTTAGGCTGGCAGTGGACCCTTTGATTGTGGTGTAGGCATATCAGCCTAGCTAGCTAAGGGTAAAGGAAACCACCACCAGAAGGCTGGCCATCTAGTAAAAATACTTTTGGCCATGGCAACTCTTAAAATGAGGAGTATATGACTTGCATTTGTGAATGAAAATCTGTGTATTTTCAAGTGGAGAGAGAGAGAGTATTAGAGTGTATGTGTGTACATGTGCATGTGTGAGCATGTTTGTGAGAATTTAGTCTCTTGATATCATGAGTCAGGTCAGTGAGAAATCACTTGGAAGATGCAGTAAATATAGAATTTACCTTCTGATTCACTAAAATATTTCTGCTAAAATCTCGTATTCTCTGTGTTCGTTGATTCTGCCTCTAATTGCTATATAAAGTATTTGTTTTGACCTTAGGCACTCTTTAATTAATTATTTAATCCTTGTGAATTAACATCTCTTAAGATAACTTTCAGTAAGAGCACTGTGGTTTTTCACTTTAAGGTTTTGGGCTATAATTTGAATTCCTTGCTCTTGACTTCATTAATGTATCCACTGTCAATGAGGATGCGTTATGAAATTTATTTTTCTTTACCATTTTACTACTTAAATAGAATAAGAATGGTTATTTTTGGACAGTAGGAAGACTTCTGGACACATTCTGTTTGTCCCCTTTTTTCTTTTCCCTTGCCCTTTTCTCAAATATTTCTTTATTTTTCCCCCTAATTTACATCTTTTTATCTTTCCATCTGCTATTTTTCTTCCTATTCTCACCCACTCTTTAGCCCATATACTTTAACATCATTTATGTACCAACCTAGAACAGCAGGTTAAATTCCATCATCTCACTTTTTTGCAAGGAATATGAAAAAGTTCGCCAGCAGTATGAAGAAGTAAAGCAGAATCGTGACCAGATAAAGGAAGAGCTCAGAAAACTCAAAGAGACACAGGGCCCTCTAACACAAAAAATTCAAGAGCATGAAAGGCAGCGCCGACAATTGGATAATCAAGTCAAAGTGAAGGTACTGTATCTATATTGAATTTGTTTCTTATATAGAAAAGCTAAGCAAAAATGTTGGTGTTACCAAATCTGCCCTTCTAGGAACTGAGGAATTGGGAAGAGATTCTGCCTGTAGAGCATTCTCTCTACCAAAACTTTGTAATAGGAATAACATCTATATAACACTTTAAAGTGTGCAAAGTGCTATTCATATACTCTTAAAGTCATCAAACTTTAGATTTGGAAGGGACTTTTTAAAGATTAACAATGTAGCAGATGAGGTTTAGAACATTTAAGAAAATAAAATTAGACTTTGGCTCTTCAGACTCCTAATCAATTATACTTTTTATTCATTATACTGTTTAAATAACTGCAGGCATGAATCACTCTAACAAACCCAATGCCACAAGTATGATCCCTGTACTGAATGTTTAAGCTTCACACAATGAAAAAAATTGCTCAGCACATTACAATCTTGATTCCAGCCAAACCTCTCAGACTGGTTTGGACATAAGTGTAGATGTCTCACCACGACAATATTCCACATATTGTTGGAAAAACTTTGCAAATGCATATTCCTCTAGATGAGTTCCTCATGTTGAACATGTGAAACATAGTGCATTGTTATTATAGGACAGTTCCTACTATTTAGATCTCAAACATCATTTCTGTTGAAATACTCAGTTTTCATATGCATATGTGATCTCATCAGTCTTCTGTATGTTCCCTCCTATGCTAATCCATCCCTGCCCATCCTTTGGGAGTCTTCTATACACTTGCTGTAGGGGGTCCGTCTAATGGCATTCCTTCCTTTCTCTTAATGAGAGGATATTGGTGGGACCATTTGGTCTATCCACCTGATGTCACTTAATTATTGCCACAATACTAGCCCATCTACTCTTTCTATTTTCCCAGTGAATTTTGCTCCTATTCTTTGAATTTCTTCCTCAGTTATGTGTTGCAGCCAGCTCATACCCACCATGTGCCTCTATATTACTGTGTAAGCCTGGCCTTTGTTTCTGGAAAAAGTTGCAGTTTCCTAAAGGAAATGTAGCCTGTTCTTGTTCTCCTTATTAATTCTGTGTTATAAAAATTATATTCTGATATCGTTGGTTATTTCTATTCCAAACTTTTAAAAAACAATTTCATTTTACTTTTTAAAAGACTAAAAAAGCATTTTTGTTAAGATCTGAGTGGTAGGTAGTTACTAAAAAAAAATCTGAAATATTAAGTTTTACTGTACCAGAAATTCTGTCTTCAGAAGGCACAATGCTAAAGAACAGGTAGTTAAGTGGAGAAAAACTTTTTTATTGGTTAAATTTTTTAAAAAGACAGTCATAGGCATGCTTATACTGCTAGACAATTAATGTTTGGGCATTTGTTTAAAAACATGATGACTTGAACTTAAGGTGTCATGGGAAGGATCCTGCTGTGAGTTTACCTGGCTTCCCTGCCTACTTGAGATCTGGCAAATTGGGCTTAGATAAATGAATGACTATGCACTTAAATTTTAACTTATATGCATTTTTATTTCCTTACAGAATAATGATATTAGAGATACATCTTGTAAGTGCAAAGAAAAACAAGATGCATTAGAAAAGACAGACAAACAAGTAAGACTGCATAATGAAATATTAACTACATGATTTAGTGATGCATGTACTCATCTTGCCCTAGAGCAGTGGTTCTTAATGTGGGGTTTGTAAACTTATTTTTCCAAATATTTTTATAAACATATTTCAGTATAGTTGGTTTAATTGGAATTGTAATCTGTATTTTTTAATTTTTTTGCATTTAAAAACATCATTCGAAGAAGTCCATAGGCTTCACCATACTGCCAAAGGGGTCCATGATACAAAAAAGATTAAGAATGCCTATCCTAGAATATAGAAACCTGGTAAAATATGAGAGTGAAATGGGAAATTTCTGGGGAATTGCAGCTTTGCTAAAGCTCTCCCTACACTGTCATGTGGCAGGAAGATTTGTTCAAAATTGTACCGCTTGAGTAGGGAATCTTATGAGAGTTAGTATTTCCCACTCATGGGAATAGTGGACCTACATGATTGGGATCTTCTAAGTTAATTAAGATATAAATGATAAAAACATACCCAGTTACTTTATTGGAATTTGGCCCATGAGGACTTTCTTGTGCTCAGTAGAATGAATTTGCTTTTACATGGAAGTTAACTGTTACCATTCCCTCCAAGAAATATTTAGATATAAATATAATATAGGTAAATTAATAGACATTGCTACCTTTGAAGGAAATATTTTATTTGCATATTTGGTCATAGTTGAAAATATGTCATGAAATTGCTTTGTTCTCTTCCATAAAGTATAAATTGCCAGGGAAATTTCTATTTGGGGAGAGATAATTATACAGGTTTCATGCTGGAACTTATATATCAATGTCATTTTTCCCTTCTTCCTTCTTGTGCTTCATAGTTGAAAGGACAGGAAAGCAGGAGCAAAGTGATATTCCTTCATTTCCCCTTTTGCCTGTTCTTTCCCAGAGTTCTGGAAATTTTTCCTCCAGTAGCTGATAAAAAGTGAAATTGAGGTAGAATATGTAACATAGCTAGCTTTTAGGAAGCTATGAGAATTTTGAATCTAAAAAAAGCAATAAAGTTAGAGGAGTGTGTATATGAAATTTCAGCACCAAAAAAAGCCAAATGGTTCTTTCTTTGAAGGTGTAAGGGGAAAATGAGACAATTATTAAACTCTAAAGTTAACAAATAGCAAGAAAAGTTCTAAATTGTGCTTGGGTGGATTCTTAGAAAACCTTCAGGTTGGGTTATGCATACCTAAACTTGGGAGTCTACCTGTCAAGACACACACAGGAATTATATTGACACAATTATTAAATACTCTTTACACGAATAAAAGCAGATCTAAATAATTAGAGAACTGTTAATTGGTCATGGGCAGGCTGAGCCATTATAATAAAAATGACAAAGTAAATTGACTTACTTATTCAGTGTCATACCAATCAAACTACAAAAGAATTACTTTATAGAGCTAGAAAAATTTGTAACAAAAGTACAAAAAGTCAGGAATATCAAGATAATAAATGAAAAACAATAGGAAGGAAAGAAACTTAGCAGTACATGGTCTCAAACAAAGAGATAATTGTCAAAAACAGTTTGGTCGTGGATAAGAAGTAAAGGTTGATTACTAAAAGAGATTAGGTACACGATACACAGAAGCAAATGAACACAGTAACCTAGTATTTGATGAACCCAAAGACCCCAGCTCTTGGAATAAGAACTCATTATTTTAATAAAAACTCAGGAAAACTGGAAAACATTCTGGCAGAAACTTGATGCAAAACAACATCTCATACTATATAATCAATAAACATTTCTTAAGCACCTGTTCTGTGCCAGACACTGTGCTAAATGCTGAGAATATAAAAAGACAGCAAAAGACAGTCGCTACCCTCAAGGAACTTACAGTCTAATGGGTGAGAAAACATGCAAATAAATACATACAAAGCAAGTTATATATAAGATAAGTAGGAAATAGTTAACAGAAGAAAGGTACCAGAGTTAAGAGGGGTTGGAGACAGCTTTCTGTAGAAAGTAGGATTTTAGTTGGGACTTAAAGGAAGCCATGGAGGTCAGTAGTTGGAGCAGAAGAGGGGAGGGTATTCCAGGAAGAGAGAATGCCAGGAGCCAAGAGAAAAACTCTAGATGGGTACATGATTTAGACATAAAGGGTGACATAATAAGCAAATTAGAGGACCATGTCATATCTATAGATAGGGGGAAATTCATGACCAAACATGAGATAGCAAGGTTAACCAGATAGAAAATGGATAATTTTGATTTCATAAATTAGATACTTTTTTGCACAAACAAAACCAATGCAACTAAAATTAGAAGAGAAGCAAAAAATTGCAAAGGGGAGGGGATATTTGCAGTATATTTCTTTGATAAAGATCTCATTTCTAAGATACATAGGGAACTGAGTAAAATGTATAAGAATAAGAGCCATTCCCCAATTGGTAAATGGTCAAAGGCAGTTTTCAGAAGAAAACATCCAAGCTGTCAGTAGCCAGAAAATCACTAATGGAGAAACACAAATTAAAGCTGTTCTGAGGTACCACCTCACACCCATCAGAATCACTTAGATGACAGAAGAGACAAATGACAAATGCTGGAGGTCATGTGAAAAATAGGTACACTAAATGTACCCTTGGTAAAGTTATGAATTAGTCCAACCGTTTTGGAGAACAATTTGGAACTGTGCCCAAAAAGCTATTCTTTCTAGTGAAAAGATACTGTTCCTGGGTCTATGCACTAAAAAAAGATCAAAAAAAGAGGAAAAGGACTCATTTGTACAAAATTATTTATAATACAGCTCTTTTCATTGTAGCAAAGAATTGGAACTTAAGGGGATGCCTATCAGTTGGGAAACAGCTGAACAAGTTCTGTGTAGATATGATGGGATACTATTGTGCTGTAAGAAAGGGTTAGTTTTAGAAATACCTGGGAAGACTTGTATGAACTGATACAGAATGAAATTAGCAGAATCATGGAGAACAATTTATTCAGTAACAACAATATTGTAAGGACAATCAACTCTGAAAGATCTATCAATTCTGATCAGCACAGTGACCAACCATAATTCCAAAGAACTCATGATAAAATATGCTTTCTACCTCCAGATAGAGAGGTGATGGGCTTAAAGGGCAGATCTGAAGCCTGTGTTCTTTTCCTTCTTTGTAGGTGTGAGGGACAGAACTAATGCAGGAATTTGTTTTGCATGCCTATACGTATTTGTAATGACCTTTGGGTTTGCGGGGAGGGGGTAGGGGAAAGAGCTGGTTTGCCTTCTCAGTGAGTAAGGAATGAAGAGGGAGAGAATTTACAACTCAAAATAAAGGTGAGGGGGAAATTTTTTTAATTAAAAGACAAAACAAAAAAAAAATGGTTGTCTTGATTTGTACATCATCAACGTGTACCTATCTTCCCACAACCTCCCCAACATTAACTGTTCTCTTCTCTTGTCATCTTTGCCATTTTGCTGGGTGTGAGGTAAAACTTTAGATGAGGCCTTTTTGGTTTACGTTTCTTTTATCATTAGTGACTTGGGGAGTTCTTTCATATAGTTGTTAATATAGTTTGCACTTCTTTTGTGAACTCTTTATTCCTATCTTTTGACCACTTATTGGAACTGTCTTTTAGTCTTACATATGTATTAGTTGTCTTGGATAATAAATCCTCATCAGAAAAACTTGATAGAAAGTTTTCCCATTCAATCACTTCCCTTCTTATCCTAAGTGCATTAATTTTGTTTGTACAGAAGCTTTTCAGTTTCATATAATCAATAAGATCTTTGATATTAAGATTAGGTATCCACTTAAAATGTATAATGGAATACGGCATAAGTGTTGATATAAGCCTAATTTCTGCCAGTTCTTCAAGTATTTTTTATCAGAGAGTTCCTTAGTAATTTATGTTTTTCAGTTTATTGGACATTGGGTTTTAAATTTTTCTGAAACAAAATAGTTTCTTTTTCCATATAAAAATTTGAATATTCATCAAGTTGCATTTGTTTCTATGAATTTGATATTGTTACCACATTATATTTCTGTTGTGCCCTGTTAACTGAATTTTGCTTGGATATACTTAATATGCATAAGAATGAATCTTGTTTACATATACTTTGAAATATCTAGTTGGGCTTAAAATAGTATTTTGTCACCTTTAGTAAGGCATAAATAAAATATGTATGCACTTAGAATGCTGATTTTACCTTTTTAAAAAATCAGTAATAGAGCCTTATAAACCAACAGAAAAATTCCAAGTAATAACTTAATCTTTTACTCTTATTAGATTGAAGAAGCAAAGCATGCTTTCAGGGTGAAGCGAGATGAAGAGGATAATAGACTGCAGAGAATAAGTAACACTCGTAAGATGATCGAGGATTGTCAGAGGGAAATTGAGTCCATAGGAAGCTGTGAGAATCTGCAACCCCAAATTGATTCCCTTAATGAGAATCTAAAACAAGTGGAAGAGGAAAAGTCGGCAATTGATGTAGAGATAAATGAGAGGGTAAAAGAGATAGAAAATCTGAAGAAAGATAAAGCAAGTAAGTTTTGTTAAAACTCTGCCAAAGTATGTATATACTTGAATACTATATTGGTTCAAATAAAAGCTATATTATTTTCCCACATTTGATTTGTATAAAACCTGAGGCTGTCCTACAATCTGCTGTTATTTTCATGTGTTAGATATTTATTTCCTGTCAGTCAACAAGCATTTTTAAGCACATACTGTGAGTTTGGCACTGTACTAAGCGTTAGAGATACAAAGAAAAGGCAAAAGACAAGTCCCAGTTCTCAGGGAGCTCCCAACCTGAAGGGGAAGACAACATGCAAACAACCCTATTCAAAAAATATAGTACAGAATAAATTGAGTATAGCCTCAGAGGGAAGGCACCAGCATTAAGGGTGGTTAGGAAAGGCTTCTTGTAGAAGGTGAGATTCTAGCTGAGACTTGAGGGATTCCAGGGGGGACAGGGATAAAAAGAGAGATAATTCCAAGTATAGGGGATAGTCTGTAAAAAATACATGCAGTCTAGAGATATAGTGTCATGTGTGAGGATCAGCACGCCAGTGTTACCGCATCACAGAATATGTTGAGGGTTGTAAGAACACTGCAGGAAGTAGCCAGGTTATGAAGGGTTTTAAAAACCAAGCAGTTTTATATTTGATTCTTGAGGTGACAGTCATTGGAGTTTATTGAGTGGGGTGGGGTAGGGTGGGAGTGGGGAGTGACATGGTAAGATATCTGCTTTAAGAAGATTACTTTGACAGCTGAGTGCAAGATGGACTAGAGTGGGGAGAGACTTGTGAGAGAAACCAACCAAAAGGCCGTTGCACTGCACTATTCTAGGAACAATGTGTTGAGGGCTTGCACCAGAGTGTTGGCAGTATCAGCAGAGAAGGGGGAATATATTTGAGAAATGTTACGAAGTTGGACTTGGCAACAGATTAGATACAAGTTATTAGGTGAATGAGGAATTGAGGATGACAGCCAGGTTAGTAGAGACTATATTTTCTATTTCTTAAAATTACCTATGAAACGATTACAGTGATAGATATATCTGACAAAGGTTTGATAAATGGCTGAATTAACTCACTCTGCTTTTCAGAGGCATAATCATTTATTTTTGTTTTTCAAAAATAGCTGTAAGTACTCGTATTGTACGCCTTGATAACTTACTGAATCAAAGGGAAGAGAAATTGAGAATGAGATATCGTGATACACATGATGCTGTTATGTGGCTAAGAAAAAATAAACATATATTTAAGAAAACAGTTTTTGAACCCATAGTGCTCATGGTAAGAGATTTTGCTCATTTTAAGAACATCTTATTTTGTCACTATTATAATTTATATTTTTGTTATAAGAATTTTTAGAAAAGTAACACCTCGTTTATTTCATAATCATACTTCTGGCCACTTGCAACAGATTTTAATCTTGAATTAAGCTTAAATGCACAGCCTCTCACACCGTGGTAATCTCTGAGGCCTTCACTGTACCATGTAATATAATGCAATAATTGATACTCGTAACAATGATTGTGAATTGCCAAGATCAGATTTTGTTTATACTATGTTTAATAAGAGAAGTATACAGTATATTTGCCTACTTTAAAAGTAACTTAAATAAAAATCTAGTAATTACAGTATATGTTTTATTGATATCTCAAATTCACTTATGTGGAATAACTCCATTCAGTCTTAAATATTGTGTATGGATAATAAAACATAAAATAGATCAGAGAATGATGATCTATATAGCAAAAAAGGATATTTTACTTACAGAAGAATTTACTAGACTGTTCCTTTAAATCAGAGGTTCTTAATCTGAGTTCCATGAACTTTTAAAAATGTTTTGATAATTGTATTTCATTATAATTGATTTCCTTTGTGATACTATGTGTTTTATTTTTTTATATTTAAAAATATTATTCTGAAAAGGGATCCAAAGACTTTACCAGACTACCAAGGGTGGTCCATTGAAACAAAAAAAGGTTAAGAACTTTCTAGTTTAAATAGACCACTAGTTTTTCTTCAATATTGAATATGTGAAACATAATTATATTTTATATTGATCACATTTTTATTTACAGTAAATATTCAAAGCAGTTTGTTCTTCTTGCATATATCTGATTTATGTTAATGATAGTGTGCATAAAAGTATTCTCATGATGTTCCCCCCTACTTATATATATATATATATATACACACATATATATATGCATATATATGTATATATATTACTTTAAACAATTCAAGGCACATCTCTCTTAAAGTTAAATATTACTTTTATATTCAGAAAGAAAATATTATTTGGAAGACTTTGAAACATATTAGAAGTACTCTAAATATTAAATGTCTTGGAAAGTGATTCATATTGTCTCCATAGCAACATAGAATCAAGTAGATATACTAACTGTAAAAATGGTTCTTAACTTTACTGGAATTTGACATCCTGTTTTCATCTTTTTTTTCCCTTAGAGTCTTCTGTCATCAACTTTGTGACACATTTGTCATTTAAATAAAATTTAAATTTATTTTGGGGAGAATTTCATTACTTAGCTTACTTTTTTTTTTTTTTTAAATCCACTAGATTGATCATAAACTCCTTACTCTCCTTGTTCCCCTGTCCCAGTACCTAACACAGGACTTGGCCAAAGAGCAGGTGTTCAGCAAATATTGAATAAATACTATGGTATTAAATACCAGACTTAAGAATTGTTCTTCTAAAAATGTTTAGCTTCATACTAAAGTCATCATATGAGTTCTAAGTTCTAAAGGGATTTTATTTCATTCTTCGTATTTGGTTTGCCAGTTACCCATTTCAATTTCTGTATCTTCTTGTATATTGTAACGACAAGTGTCCAGTTTGGGGCTTTCTGGGAAATTTTCAGTAGCTGGATATATTTATTAAAACCTTTTATTTTTATTGAGGTATTGCATGCATTTACATTTTTTAATTGGTCAAGAACATATACAGAATAGGAACTTAAATACCCTGAAGGTAAACATTGGTCAGCGACCAACAGTAATCAGTTGCTAATAGAACCTTGGATTTGTTTTTGTTTTCATAAATGTATTTAACTATATGCAAGACCAGACTTGATGAATTAAATTGTAACTGCCAGCTTAAACAAGAATTATTTTTAAAATGTTGAGCCTTGAAACAATATTTCTTCTGAAACTTTTGACCTTCTTTGATATTTCATTTACAGAGACACTATTTTTAAATGGTTTCAGTACTCATAAACATTCTATTTCTTTTCTTAATTTAGATCCATGTGAAAGACTATAAAAATGCCAAATATATTGAAAATCACATTCCATCAAATGATTTGAGATCTTTTGTATTTGAAAGTCAAGAAGACATGGAATATTTTCTCAAAGAGGCAAGTACTTAGTGATATAATACTTTGAACATTTGAGTGAATGTTTTCAATTTCAGAGCTCAAAGAATGCCTCAAAACCAGAACTTTAGGTTTCTTACCAAAGTAGCATAATGTAATTAACTTTGTTAACAGGTAACAGTTTATAGATTCTCTTGGTTTTGCTTGTCTTCTCTCTGTGTTTATCATAAATTTAATTCTTTAAGGACTTGTGATTTTATTTTTATGAGTATTTCTTCAATTTATGCAGATTACAACATTATTATAGCATATTATTTGTGGAAATGTCAGTTGGTCAACAAATATTTATTAATTACCTACTATATGCACTATGCAGGCACTGTGCCAGGGATACAAAGAAAGGTGAAAGACAATCCCTATTCTCCTGGAGGTTTATGTTCAAATTGGGGAGACAACATGCAAACAACTATCTATAGACAAGTTTCTACTCCCCCCTTCCCTTCTTCTCCTTAACCTGCCCCTAATTACAGATGTTTACTCTTTTTTTCTTTTAATCTCCTCCCTTCTTATTCAACCCTCTGCTTATGACCCTCAACCCTCAACTTTACCGTCCTCTTTCAGTGTTAAGTTTAGTGTATTTCTGCACCAAATTCTTTGTGTATTTTTGTATATATACATATATGTATATATATGTATGTGTGTGTATCTGTATATACATACACATATATACATATACATATGTGTGTGTATGTGTGTGTGTGTAGTGGGGAAGCGAGGTGGTATGCAGTGGATACAGTGCTAACCCAGGAGTCAGGACAACCTGATTTCAAATCCAACCTCAGACGCTTACTAGCTATATGACCTGGGGCAAGTCATTTAACCCTGTTTGCTTCCATTTCCTCATCTGTAAAATGAACTGGAGTAGGAAATGGTAAACCATTCCAGTTTCTTTGCCAAGAAAACCTCAAATGGGGTCACAAAGAGTCAGACACAGCTAATCAACCTAAAGAACAACAGAGAGTATGTGTGTGTGTGTGTGTGTGTGTGTTTTCAGTCTTCCTTTGCCCAATTCAGATGAGAGTGAGATTCATATAATGACATTTTTTCCCACCCTTTCTTTCATATCTGTATATTATTCATTTTGTGTACTCCTATTTTGTGAGATACAGCCAATCCTCAACATTTGTGCATTTAACTTTCACGACTTAATTACCTAAGTAACCTGATTTACACTTTCATGTTTATAACCACATCCATCCACAGCTGTGCAAAATAGAGAAAAAAATGAGAGGTGTGATGAGAGCAAGTTTGTGGAGCAATTGATAACCTACTAGCCGCTTCACTGGTTTGGTTAACCTACCATTGTAAAGAGCACCCTGTGCATTCGTTACCTATTTTCATTGTTTGTCTTTAAAACTTAAGTTTTGGGATGCAATTATGCCTCTAAAGCACAGTGCGTGTCCTTTGGTCTCTAAGCCCAAGCATGCAAAGTTAATGATGCAGCTCAGTGAGAAAATAAAGGTGTTAGATAAACTTTGTGCCAGAATGTCTGCAGCCACTGTCGACCGTGAGTTTGGTGTTAACAAATCCACAATTCATTATATCCGCAAAAAGAAGGGAAGTATTTATGGTACCACAGATTTCATGGATTGTAAAAAGTGAATATTGTCTGAAATCATTTTTTTAATTGAGAGGTTAGCACAAAAGGTCACAAAATTCTAGGGAATTACTAAGCAAGAAAAAGTTTTGCTCGTTATACATTTTATTTTGTGTATGGCAGTTTATGGATTATTTCATGATTACTATATTAGAAAAAGTGCATATTGTTAGAATGAATGATTTGTTGTAAAGAATTGTATAGAGGAAAGAAAATGTATTTTCAGTTATCACTAGCGAAAGATTACTTTTGGTGGTCACAGGAACATAGCCCCCTATTTCAGTGTACCAACAGTCACAATTTTTTACTTTTGTGCCATTTTCTAGGAGCATTATTCTCACAAAAGTTGAGGATTGACTGTAATAAGTTCCTTCCCCTTCTTCCAGTATTCCCTTTACTCTCCTTTTCTTTCTTCTGTTAACACCAGTAACACAAAACAAAATCACCTCTAGGTCCTCTGTCTTATTTAAGTTACTTAACTCCCTCTCTGATCCTTGAAAATATTATGGTTCTGAAGGGGTATTTATTTCTTCTTCCCTGCTAAAATATAAGCATTTCATCATTGTATAGACCTTTCCATTGCTCAAATGTATTTACTTTTTTAGTTTTCACTTGACTTTTGTGTCTGCATTGGAACATTTTATTTGGCTCTGGTATTTCATCAGGAGTCCTTTGAAGGTACTAGATTAAGGGTCCATTTTATCCCCTATATGCAGCTTCTGCAGGTAAGTTTTTCTTGGTTGTATGCCTTTTATCTTTTGCCTTTTAGAATATCATTTACCAGAATTACCTTTCCTTTTTAGTGGTAGCTGCCAAATCTTAGTGATCCTGAATGTGGCTTCTTAGGTCTTGAAATGTTTCATTCTAGCTGATTGCAGTACTTATTCATTGACCTGTAAACTCTGAATTTTGGCTGTGTTTTTTGGAGTTTTCACTTTAGGGTTTCTTTTAGGAGGTAACCAATAATTTTTTTCTCTTTCTACTTTGCATCTGGGCAGTTTTCAGTTGTGATTTCTTGAAATCTGTTATCCAAACTTTTTTGTTTAGTTTCGTGATTTTTAGTTGTCCAATAATTAATTCTTAGATTATCTCTGATTATTTTTCCAGGTCATTTTTTTTAACAGTGTAATACTTTACATTTCCTTATATCTTTTGATTTGTTTTCGTATTTCTTATGTATTGTGACATCATTGCTTTTTGTTTCCCTCATTCTGAGTTTCAAGGAGTCCAGTTCTTGGGTAAGATTTACTATTTTCTGTTCTATTAATTCTACTTCACATTCTTTTTTCATTAACTCTCATTTCATCTTACATATTATCTTTTGCTTAAATTCTTCCAGGTACTTTTATATACTTGCTGGGGGGTTCCTCTCATGTTCTGGGTTTACTTCTTGGTCTTTTCTTACTTTATAGTATTTCTTCCTTGTGTTTAGCTGTTTTGTACTATTTACTCTTATCTCCAGCCTGTTTCTGGTTTGGAGCTTTCAGACTCTGCTCTTTCCTGAATTTTTAAATAGTGTGGACAGGTCCCTCTTGGTTTCGCATATGGAGGCTAAGAGTAGTCGTCATCCTCTGCAGAAATTCCTGGACTTTGACTTAGTCTCCTTATAGCTAGACTTAGATTTTGACCTCAGTTCTTTCTCTGTTGCCCCCTAAGGCAGTCCCAAACCAAGACTTGGCTATATCCTACATCACATACATTCTGGGACCCTGATACTCCAACCAAATACTGAACATGTGGTAGCAGACCTCCTGCAAAACCCCAGGTTTTGTCCTGGCTCTTTTTTCTACTATAGCTTAGGTTTGAGTTCCTCATCCCAGGGTTCCTTAAGTGCTATTCTGGCCTGCCTCCTGCAGTAGTTCAGATGTGGACCGTGTGAGCTATTTAGGCTTCTGTAGTCTGGCTGTATCTCCCACTGTGAATCAAGACTGACTGAGTGCTGCTCTGGGCACAGACTGCCCTTTTATTAGGCTGATTCTGTCTCTTGCAGTAGTTCAGGCAGGAGCTGCCTAAACACTCCACCGCCCAAGTGCTGGTCTGACCTTGTCTCCTATTGGGTCTCAGGCATAGGGCTGCCCTAAGCATGATGCTGCCTGCTCACTGGCTGGACCCTGTCTCCTTTTATGACATGGATGGGGCTTGCTGGGCAATGTCTGGCCCAGTTTCATGGAGGTCCAGACTGCTTGTACATTATACCTTCTTCCTACACTGAATTGTCTTTGTTCAAATCTAATGCTGGTTTTTGACAAGTCTTTTCTTGCGGTTCCAGAGCCTGGACAATTTCTCTTTGGTCTTTTTTTTTTTCTTTTTCAACCAATATTCCTTCTGGTGTATTTTTAGAGCTTTAGTGGTATGTTTGTGGAGGATATGGACTCTTCAACATTCTAAAATGCAGTCTTAGTTGGAAGCCTTCATTGTATTTTATAAAGCATTGTTCCTGGTTCTGCTTTCTGGAGCCAAATAAAACAAGTTTAATCCTTCTCTCAGGTGACAGCCCTTCATATGTTTGAAGACAGCTGTTATATCCTCTCAGTTCATTTTGTCTTCAGGCTCAATATCCCCAGATCCTTCAACCAGTCTTCATATATTATGAACTCTAAACTTGGCACCTTCCTGATTCTCTGCCCTGGATCCTTTCCAGCTTATTATTTTTCTTCCTAAAATGTGATGGCCAGAGCTGATCACATTACTGTAGATGTAGCCTGCCCAGAGCAGAGTACAATGGAACCTCCTTATTCATTGAAATGGTGCCTCTCTAAGATTGCATTTGCCTTCTTGTTCCTTTATAACATTCCTGATAACTCAGGCAGGGGAGTGGGGGCTGGGGGGGAAGGGGAGCAGGTATCCACCTCTTGCCTCTGGTTCCTTTCATCCCACTTCTCAGTCCTTTGCAATTTCACTTAAGACCTTATCATTTAACTGAAACTTGAAATTGTTTTCTCCAGAGTTATCAATAATCTCTTAATTAATAAATCTTTCTTGACTTCTCTACAGGAATTGATATTGTTAATCATCCTCTCCTGGATACCATCGCTTCTCTGAGTTTTCATAACACTGCTTTCTCTCAGTTCTCTTCCTAACTTTCTGATCATTCCTCCATTTCCTGTGCAGGTTTATCTTCTATTATACTTCCCTTGACTGTGCATATGTATGGCTCTATCTGGATCCCTCTTCTCTTTTTTGTCTGTACTCTTATTTGATGACCTCATTAGCTTCCATGAGCTTAATTATCATTTCTGTGAAGATGAATGAACTAATAAAAAAGCATATAAATGTCACTAAGATCTGAGAATACAAATAGAAAAGGAAGACAGTCACTGTTCTTTTGAAGCTCATATTCTAAGAGGAAGACAGTACATACTAGAGAGTTCAGCTACAGGGCAAA